GTCATCGACGTGAGCATGGAGGAGCTCTGGAGAAAAAAAGGTCCCGGCTGGCTGCCTGGATTCCTTAGGTTTTAGGATTCAAATTCAATGGGAGCATACTGACTGTACTAAACCCAGAAGGGGAGAGAGATCACCTACTGTAAGCTGAACCAGAGAGAAAGTGAGTGGCCTGCCCAGAACCCCATGTCAATTAACGGCAGATCTGGGAGTAAAATCCAGGCTCCTGCCTCCCCGCATGCTTATCATCATCTGTTTAAACATAAAACTCAGTTTGAAAGTCTGAAACGAGACTTAGAGTGTACGGGTGAATGTGGCTGCTCCTTTGAACATAGGGTTGAAGAGCTAGCAGGGGGAAGTTTAAGGGCCTGGGATATCATTGAAGGGTGTACCCCCGTGAACTTGACTTGACCCACTTGGGGAAAAAAAAGTGCATTGGAATTCTTGGTAATTTGCTTAATCATAGCAGTTCATTTCTTCTGTACTGGATTTTTCTCAGCCCTGCTCTGAACTTCTTGGCATTAAAGATGCAGGTCTGAGGGTGCCTCTCACAGGCTGTGTATGTAGTAGCCTGACATAGGTGCGGAATCATGGTCTCCCTCTTTTTTTCTTTTTACTAATGATCATTGATTATCTGTATTCTCCAACTTGGTTGAGTTAATGCTGCAAGAGGTAACTTTAAAACAGCTACACGTTGTGCATTCTTCCTCCCGCCGTGTTCTGTTACACTCGTGCTGTGTGCTGTGAGCCTCGGGGAGCCCCAGGTTCGTTGTCTACGCAGCAAGTGTCTGGGAGCAGGGAGCCGGTGACGGCAGCGCCTTATTCCTGGATGGGTTAAAAGCAGAGTCCCGCCTATGCCTCCCTCCTCTTCCCATGTATAAATCTATTCCTCCTGGGATCTGCAGATTTCTTTTTTTTTTTTGCTCTATTTTTCATCTGTTGATAACTTGAGAAACCTCCAAAGATCAAAGTCTTAGATGGGGAGAATTCAGTTCACCCTGTCTTTTCTGAATCCCTGATAGATGTTGAAAATCAGTCTGCATTCCGAATCTGGATGGGAAGGACATGGGTCATCAGAATGTGGTGGGTGAGCACACGGACTCTGAAACAGGCAGCCTGGGTTCAAGTCTCAGCTCCTCTTGTTACTACGGCTGTGTGACTTCGGGCAAATCCCTTAAGCGCACTGGGCCTTAGTTTCCTCAAGCCTATCTCACAGGGTTGCTGTGAGCATGCAATTAAATGAACTATTTACTGTTACCTTTATAAGGGGAGGGTATAGCTCAGTGGTAGAGTGCATGCTTAGCATGCATGAGGTGCTGGGTTCAATCCCCAGGACCTCCATTAAAACAAATAAATAAATAAACCTAACTACTCCCCCCCCTGCAAAACAAACCGAAAAAAATATATAGTTACATTTATAACTATTTGTACATTATATATAATATATATTATATATCATATAAATATATATAAATATTCATGAAGTTCTCTGGGCGATAGAAGTGTTCAACAAGTGACTACTAAGTGAATTAAATGGTTCTGATTAGACAAGAGTGGGTCCAAGCCGAACCACCCGGCCCTAGGCCCTTAGGTTTGAGGAAAGGGGGCTGCTTTTTCCTCAATCAGATTTGCAGAGCACATCCTACACCAAGAGCCTTTTATTCCGTGGAATTCAAAAGGAAGTAGCAGTGGGGCTGGACTCGGAACACCAGAGTTTGTAAGGCCTCTTTCCAGCTCAGTGCACGTGTCCACACTTTCTCTCCTGGTTACTATCTTGCACAGCCTCCAGCAGGTAGCCCGGTCTGTCAGGGTCACTTTCGTAAAGCTGCTAGGATCGCCATGGTCCTCCCTGGGCTGACCGTCATCGCCGTGGTCCTCCCTGGGCTGACCGTCATCGCCGTGGTCCTCCCTGGGCTGACCATCACTGGCCGGTGCCCGCCGCACACGCGCGCAGAGCACCCAGCCCGGTCCCCGGCGAGGGGGTTTCCGTGGGGCGGCGCCGCCGGCTTCAGGGGCTGGGCTGTGGGAGAGATTAATGGGAAGTGAAAAGAGAAACAGTTGCTCTTAACCAGCAGGGCTGTTGCGAGTGTGTGACTCTTCTTGTATTTAGGGAAAAGATTACTCATGAGTATTTTCTTCCATAGAATATAAAGAACCTCAAATTACTACTCGTCCCCCACCCCCTTCTCACCCGCCTCCCTCGTTTCAGTGTCTCCTTTGCAGAAACTTCAGCATTTGACTCTCGTTTCCCCTCCTGAGCGGGATTCGGTTCTGCATTTGCTTTGGCACTCACACTTCCGATAAGCCGCCCCGTCCTTTTTCCTGTTTCTGATCGAGCACTGTTGCTCCCCGGCCCTCTCACCGCCGGGCGCCTCCTTCGGCCACATATGCCCGAGCCTCCTGTTTGTCCCCTCCTGGCTGGAGATGCTCTCTGCGCCTCATGTGAAGGAGAAGAAGGGAAAAGTCCCTAACAACTAATTATCTGATGTTCCTATTCAGAAGTGACACCTCTGAGAAGAGGGAGTCAGCTTTAAGGTTTTTCATCAGTTCAAAAGTTGAGATTTTGCTGAGCCATTTTCACGCCCACTTTGATCCCCAGTTACACATTTTCAAGGTCGTTGGAAAGAATTAAGGACCTTTTTTTTAATTAAAAATTTTTTTAACTTTCATGCAATTTTTTAAAGGTTACTTTCCATTTACAGCTATTCTAGAACATACGCCCCACATTGTACGGTACATCCTTGAGCCTGTCTTACGCCCAGCAGTTTGTACCTCCCACTCCCCTACCCACCCCACATCGCCCCTCCCCAACCGCTGGTTTGTTCTCTGTATCTGTGAGTCTGCTGCTTTTTTATTATGTTCCCTAGTTTGTTATGTTTTTTAGATCCCACCTATAAGTGATATCATACAGGACTTGTCTTTCTCTGTCTGACTTATTTCACTTAGCATACTGCCCTCCAAGTCCATCCACGTCCAAGGCCCATCTTTAATAAGCATTGCTTCTTTGACCCAGTCAGGAGTCCGAAACAAGGTCTCATGTTTAATTTAAAGATCATAGAGCAGTGACATACGCCACAGTATGACTTTACAATGCTCCATGTGGGAAAAAAAGTCATAAAATGTCAAGAAAAAAATCTCTAAATGCCCATCTCTAATCATTGCAGTGCCCATAGTCTTTATCCGTGCTGTACGCGACAGACCCGTTTCAGAAGGACTTCCACAGGGTTCAAGGAAGCCAGCCACCTTTTTTAAAACTAGATTTTGCAAAAGAGCTACCTGGGAGACAGAGCCAACGGTCATGCCCAGAGGCCCCGGACCTTCCCCAGGGCATCTGAGCCCTTCTACTTCCTGGTCCACCTGGTGCGGGGGGTGGGGGGGCAGCCCATCCCAGTAGGCCAGGCAGTTCTTTGTCATGCCTGATGTGAGGGTGAAAGGTGCTTCTGTCCAGGGTCAAAGTGCAGGGGACTTTTAGAGCACACTCGTGGAGTCTCCTTGGCCAAGTTTAATCAGATAGAGAGACTGAAGCTCCTCCTAGCAAACACTGCTTCTGTTGGACTTGAGCTATTAATTCCTACAATATGATTTTAGAGACTAAAGCACTATTTAGCATGGAGCGCCTAGCTCCCTCTTACACATCTGTCTCAAACAGTTTGGTTTTAGGATTTCTTTTGATTCTTTAAAATTGTTGAAGACCCCAAAGGTCTTCACTCATATGTTTTTTATCTCTCTATGTTTACCGTATTGGAAATTAAATCTGAAAATTTTTATTTGGGGGTGTAATTAGATTTATTTATTTGTTTTTGTAATGGAGGTACTGGGGATTGAACCCAGGACCTCATGAATGCTAAGCATGCGCTCTACCCCACAAAACTGAAAATTTTCTAAACATTTGACTTACTGAAAAATCAGCCAAACCTATGTTAACATAGATAAATATTTACGAATGTATTTTCGAAAAAAAATTAGTAACAAGAGTGACATTGTTTTACATCTTTGCCCAGCTCTTTAATGTCTGGCTTCATAGAATATGGTTGAATTCTCATAACTGTTGCAATCTCACATGCTGTGAAGCCTCTAGAAAATTTTGCTCTATACTCACCAAAGAATGAGACTAGAAAAAGGCAAATGACCTTTTGACTTCACAGATACCCTGGAAAGGTCTTGGGAACCCTGAGGTGTCCCTGGATCACACTTTGAGAACCACTGTTCTAAACCACTTGAATGATATGTGAAAGATTTCCCACAAGAACAAAATAAAGTAAAAATATAGACTCACAGTCAGCTTCGACAGAGACCCAGCCTGAGCCACCCTCTCAGCCTCGGTGGCACCCTCCCTTGAACCCACCTCCGGTCCTACTCAGAGTTCAAGTACCACCCCCACCTGGAAGTTCTCTAACATCAGCAAGTACAACAAAAGAGCAAAAGACCTTTTATCCTCACCTTGCCCTCTCATTCCCAGAGGCCAGCCTGACAGTTTCCCAGAGCCAGAGTGAGTCGCTCTTCCTGGAAGAAGGTTCAGGGAACACTTCATTATTTGGCAGCTCTGGAAGGTCGAGCTCAGCTCTGAAACATTCTCACTTCGAAAGGACACAGGGCTTTACTCAGATCAGCCCTCACTCTCAAGTCCCCCCACCAGCACACTGACAGTGGTCATGACTCTGAGCCCCCCCAGGGTACCTCGGGCCACCACTGAGCTGCACCTTCAGGGCAAACCGGACTCCAGATGCCCTGAAGGACAGAGCTGTAAGACCTACAGTTCCTTACAGACATAAAAGAAAATGTCTCCCCCTATTTTGCTTCTAAGTAAAAGGTTCATTGGATGTCACACCTTTGGCGCTTGTGAAGCCTGAGTTGTAACTGGGATTCAGAGTTGACAGAAGGGCTCTTCAGACATGGAGACCCAGTTTTGTCAACGCTTCAGAAACCTTTTCCCTTTATTCTGACTGCCTAACTCAAAAGGCCTTTCTCTCTCTCTCCTCTCTGCCTCGCTCTCTGCCCGACAGGACTGCAGCCAACGTACTGGAGCAGGGACGACGTAGCCCAGTGGCTCAAGTGGGCTGAAAGCGAGTTTTCTTTAAGACCGATCGACAGCAACACGTTCGAGATGAACGGCAAAGCCCTCCTGCTCCTGACCAAAGAGGACTTCCGCTACCGGTCTCCTCATTCAGGTGAGAATCTGGACTCTGGACGCACGTGCTCAGCCTGGCAAGTCCGGCGGCCCGCATTGGCCTTGGGCACCACTCCTCCCGCCGGAGACGTCACCCAAGCAGATCGCCAGGAGCGCAAGGACAATGCCCTAGCTCAGTCGAGGGGAGGTCCTGCTGACATAGGCCAGTTTGAGGGGAGAAGAGGAAGAATTTCCAGATCCAGGGGAAACATTTAAGGTTAAGAGAAGTAGCCAGTTTGGATCTATAGACACGGGAACTTGAGGTATCTAGCTGAACCACCAGCTAAGGAAGCAAATGCATCCTGGCCCTTTCTCTCTGCCTTGCTTCTCATTCTGAAGACTTTTCAGAGAGATGCTTGAGAGTGTGTGTGGGTCATGAATGCCTCCGTGAAAAACAAAGACGGGGAGGACCAGGAATGAGCCCTGCCGAGGTAGGAGCAGAAAGGAAAGAAGAAACGGGGGAGCAGGATAGAAGGGCTGGGAAAGGTGGGGACCCTGGGGGTCCCGGCAGGTGTAGAAACAAATTCAAAGGGCTTTGGGTGATTCCTTTTGGAAGTACTGAATTTTGTGATGTAACGCATCTTGTAGCTTGTAGAAACCCTGGAAAAGACAAGGGGCAATTTCTGCAGGCTCATCTAACTGGAGAGAGGTGTCAAAATAAGGGCTCCTAAAACCCCCTGGGCAGGTTTCCTTCAGGAAGGAGCTGCAGAGTGGATTGCTGATGCTGTTCAAATATAGCTGTCCAATTTCATTTCTCAAACTGTATGGCTGTTTAGAAGCTGAGTTGGGAACTCCACCTGTCAAAGGTCTCGGGTTTATGCCTCCTGGGGGCCAGTTATTTGAATACCAACGGACCCTTCCTGTCAGGCCTCATTGCGGCCCCTCACTGTGCTGTGAGTTTTCTGGCAGAGACCTTTTTTCCTTGACTAAGAGCAAAGATCCCACAGAAGGTCTTGGCAGAGTCCCCAACTATGTTCACCCTTATTTGCTCCTGGAGCCCTGCCAGGAGTTAATAAACTCACTAACCGTCACGAGGAAACGTCCCCATCACAGAGGGTGAGATAAGAATATGGAACAGTATCTCCCCAGCTTTTCCCAATTGCACCAGAACCGTTTATATGAGGAAATGATAAAGGGGAAGTTTCCCCCAGAAGCATAGATGGTATTGAAACTTCAAAACTTAACATTGCCAAAAAACTGATCCTAGTTAAGGTTTCATAAGGGCCACGAACAGACCTGAAACATTTCATCTCCCATCTTTGATTCTTTCTGTAGTCTCAGAATAAGAAAATTGTAAAGGCAATGATATGGATAAATAAAACTCACCTAAAAGGAAACTAACGAGTTCCTTTTAATGTAATGCAAAAATACTTCCCGTTTCTGTCCCAGTAGAAACTCAAAGATTATACTCACAGAGGCAGAGTTACCCATCTGGAGGGAAAGAACTCTTTTTTGTTTTTCCAGAAAGATTATTCATGTAAAGCAAACAAAGGAAAGCACAGTGGTATGTTTTAGCTCGGTTTGACGTAGACCTTGGGCAAGGTTTCCTCCCAGAGACTTTGTAAATTCACACCCTGCTCCACACATCTCAGGTGCTCCTTTTTGTTGCTGATTTATTTTTCTCTCCCACGACCTCGCAGCTTTACTTATGAAACTAGGTTCTCTCTGCTCAAAGCTGGGAGCAAAGATACACAAAACCTGTCAGCACTGCCTTGCCACTTGGTGGAGTCTTGGCCGGGTGAAGATGGGCAGGCGTGTGCTGTGCAGTTGGAGGCAGGGCTGCCCTGAATGTAAAGGCAGAGGGAGCTGGGGAAGGGAGAGCCGAGTCCGCCCGGTCTGGTGGGTGCCGGGGAAGAAGGGTGGGGTCGGTCTGGGACAGGAAGGCTGGAACTGAGTAGGTGGAGGGGAGAGTTGAACATGCCAGGTAATGGGGGCAGCATTAACGGAGTGTGTTTGGGTGGCGGTGAGGAAGCCCACCTGGGGAGGCAGAGGCTGGAGGCAGGAAGGCCAGCTGAGGCTGGTGTGCTAGTCCGGACATGAGGTGCTATAGCCACGGGTGAGAGAGGGCAGTGGAGATTCATCCTGTGCGTGTCCCCCAGCAGCTCCACACCAGAGGGACAGGAGTGCGGGCCAGGGGCATTGAGGGACGTAGGAGAGGTGAGCTCCAGCTGGATTGTCAGGTGAGGCTCCATGCGGACACACACACAGACACAGACACAGACACAGATACACACAGATACACACAGACACACAGACACACACATACACACACTGTGTTGTATGCAATTCTTTTCTAACCCGTATGCCTCTCCCAGACTAGAAAGCTCACTTTGGGCAGGACTGTGCCGTGTTAAGCTGCCACGTCTCGAGCCTCTAGCACAGGGCATGCCATCTAGTTGGCACTCAATATATATTGGTGGAATTATGACCCAGCGTGAGCATGCCTTAAAGCCGAGGTTAAGAAGTTTGGCTGTTATTTCGCAGGTAACGGGAAACCACTGAGAGGTTTTGATCAGGAGAATGGCATGATTGGAGCTCTCCCTTTGGAAGAGACATTTGCTATCCGTGCATAGGGTGGGTCCTTTGGGTCACTCAAAGCAGGCAGAATGCTGCTGCTCCTGTCCTCTGTTCAAGACATCCAAGTCCAGAACTGGGCCATTGACACCAAAATAATAGTACTTCAGGCACAAAAGGGTTAGCTTGGGATTTTGGCCAAGCGATGCCAGGACATCCGGGAAGATGTGTCCTGATCTGCAGAAATCTGAGACAGGAGCCAGGCCAGAGCTGGGAATGATAGATTTGGGTATTATCTCCATTACACTGAGCTGAGGATAAAGATACATTTATGCTGTAGGTAATTTCATTAAGGCATCTACCGGAAAGCCAGGGACGGAGTCTCACAGTGATACCTGCCAGTGGGGGCTACAAGAAAACTGACCACAGGACAGAGGAGTGTTGTCAGAGAGATTGGAAGACAGAACCGAGAAGGAGTTAAGAAGACCCTTCTCATGAAGCAGCCACTTAGCAGGGTGACGAAGGCATGCTAGGCCTGCTCGCGTTCACCTTAGGTGGAGACAAGGTCAAAATAGAAAACCTTGTTTCTCTCTCAGATGTAACCTTGGCCCTGCTGCTTCTGAGATCGGCTTTCTTTTCTTTTCTTTTTTTTTTTTTTTTTGCACTTGGTACAGCAGATGTCCAGAGGCCCTCCTTCCACCTGTGGCTGATCACATTACTTCATTTGCCTTTATCTTCCTCATCCATAAAATGGAATTTTCCACCTGTAGATCCTAAGCTCCCTTCAGCTCTTAACAGTTCAACCCGACTTCAGCCACTGAAAGTGTTAAGTTTCAAGTAAACATTACAGCTTCCCACCCTATCGGCAGGGAAGAAATACTTTGATCTCCTTTGACCTGTATACCTTGTAAAACCTAGACTTCCCCCAATTTTTTCTTGTCTTTTCCTTGAATCTTTTTTGCTAATTAAGATGAATCAACAGCAGCTTCTCGCTAGTCCTGGGAATGAAACAGAAGTACCTGGTAGCCAGTCACCATGAATGGATGTTTAAAGTTTCCTCCCGGCCGAGTTCCCTACGTGGTCTCACCCAGAGTTACACTCTCTGTATGTTAAGGGGTCTTAACACAGCTCATCCCAAATGCAGAGAGGAGAGAACGGGGGCACAATGAGTTATAAGCACTTGAACTATTAAGGTATCTTCTTCAACCAGTTTAACAAATTACACTTACCCTGTCCACTTCCAGGACACAGGTCCTTCATTTTCAACCCCTAGAATAAAGCAGGAACATTCAGAATGTGCTTCAAATATCCTCTCCACACAGAAAAGTTCAAGTTTGAAGATAAATGGGATATTTTCTTGGGAATATTCTCCCAATCAGAGGATACAACCAGATGACAAATTCATAACATTTGCAAAGTTAAGGAATAAATGGAGAGGAATCTCAATTTTATAAAACCTCACCAGGACAGGATGATTTTACCTAGTCCTTTTGCTCCTGGATAATTACATTAAATGGTCCGGGATGATTTAAATTCAAAGGAATTTCATTGAATCTCATGAGTTCAGTGAATGTCTTGCAATGGATAACTCTAATGCATAGCTTGACCACTTCAAGGCTCTGAGAAGTTTCATTAAGAAGGAACAGACAAGTTAGAGTTGATATTAACTCTTACAATTTAGAGTTGTCCATTGCAAGACATTCAGGTGGAATGTATTTATGTATCCATTATTAAATGAACAAAAAAAAAACCCCATGTTATTAATTTAATTCATGTTAGACTTTCTATCCATGCTAATAAAAAGAAAAAAAACATATTTTCAAAGTAACTTCAATTCAGCAATAAATGTATTGGGGTGTTACTAAGTAAATCAGTTTTTAGTATATCAGAGAGTAATGTAACAAAGTGTTTCTTCCTTCAATCCACCAGATCGTATGTCTTTAGAAGTATGTTTTGCCTGTAACTTTCAAATACAGTAAAATTTCCTTTAAAGGTTAAACTGAAAATACTGGTCTTTATCTATATATAGTTCCTTGGAAACCAACTTGCCTATTAATCTCTATTAAGCAATGGTAGGTGGTTTGCTGGATTGAGTGTGTCAACCGGCTGTTTTAGAATCAAGTCACAGGGTCTGAGGGTACCGTTCACAGAAGGGGAATTTTAACCCTGAAGTGTGGGAGTTCTGGCAGACATGACCCTTGACCGAAGATACCTGGAGTTGGCACTTTCTTCTCTTGCTGTGTCTTCGAGAAAAAACAAACCAAAAAATATGTGTGTCACACATCAGAGAGGTGCTTAGATAAGTCAGTTATGAGAGAGTCACTGAATTTCTTAGCCCTTCACTTGTCCCATTGGCGAAGTAACTGCAGAGTGACATTATAACATGTAAAACACACAGCACTCCTCTTAGTTCAAAGTGCATTCTTAGGTCACGATATTTTTATTCTTTGGCTGATCTGACCTTGTGCTCTGCATCCGGCTGAAGGC